ATTCAAAGCCCTGTATCTTCGAAGTAGCAGAGTCGATTTCAGCAAACTTGGCCTAGTTGAGAAGACGTGTTCTTGGACTACAAAGGTTATAATATCTGAAGTTTTGTTAGTTTCCCATGTAGCCGCTAGACTGCTTTTTCGACATTCCGACAGAAATGGTTCATTTTCTCTAAAAAATCAAATGCAGTGGTATGATCTTTTCTTCATGAAAACGTAGCTAAATGATGTATAAACATGCTCGCGAAAACCGCATCTCGATATCTTGTTCCTAACCTAAAATTTATTCCAACATTTTTTACGAAAAGCCCTTAAATTTTTATTTTTTAAATAATTTTTCTGGAATTTATTTTTATTGAAAATATACTATGACTATAGACAGGTCTATAGGTTGGCCATTTTCTGAAAAAGCCCATTTACGTATATATCGTTTGGAAATGTTGAATATCCTAAAAATATCGCATTCATCGAAAAGCCTTAAATGGTAGGATACGAACGAGATATGATAATAATAGAATATAATAATAAACGTGAAAACCACAAACCCATCGGGGTACCACACTGTATCATTACATTTTTACTACAAGGGCAGTACGTAAACAATTCGATATGAGCAACAATGTCAGGATAATATTACAGACACTTACTTGGTGACGGAACGGCAACGAGTTACCCTCCTTCGGTAAGCGATAAGAGCGATATGATCGAGTTGTCGAGGCCAATATTTATTTTTAGAAAAATGACTTGAGTACCTTCCATATTCAACCGGCTCATAACGTGCACTACCTTAGGATTACATTAATTATCCACAGTAGTACCAATTGGGACACACAGTCCCTGGGACACACAGTCCTCCACTTAGGCAATTTTAAGCACACAGCGGCCTATGTGATCAACATAGTTTTCAGCACACACCCTATGTGATACCCAGGTGTATCGACAGATAATATATGCCGAGTTTAACGATTGTTACTAAAAGCAGTCCAGGATTCAGGATATCATGTTGGCCAACGGCCGTTGTGTCAATCAAAGGCTCCGACATTACCTCTTAATCAGAGATAACCGAGCAAGATGACAAGCTTTAGAATAACAATCCCTTCGCATATCCTGCCATGAAATACATTCAGATGCCGGCGATTGCCAAGAGAAGATGATTAAGCGGTCATTCAAACCTAGGATTCCAGGTCGGCCAAAGGCCATCGTGTCAACATTCCAAGCGCTCCGACGTTTCCCCTGAGGAAACCGAGTAGTAAATAACATAACCACCTAAAGCCAGCAATCGGGTCCCATAACAACCCCCAGAGACTGGAGGCGTTACCCCCGTATGAGCCACCTAATTTCCCTATCGTTATCCGCAATTATTGAGTCCGTAAGCCATCGATAGAAATGTGAATATATGAGCCAAGCATCTTGATAAGTATGGATATATGCTCAAAGCATCTTTATAAATGTGGATATATGACCAGAGCCTCTTTATAATTATGGATATATAATCAAAGCGTCTTTGTAAATATACTAAGTGACATATAAATCCGAACACCCAGATTAAATGGTTTTATTTTAATAAAATTTTGTATAAGTACTTAATGAAGCATAATAAGTAAATGATAAAAATTTCAAAATGATTGCACTGCTTTAAAGCCCTTTGACCTTTAATAATGTGTGGATGCACCCTGATGTGCTACGCATTCTCCAACGCGCCTAGGCATGCTTCTGATCAGGTGGTCAATGTCCTCCTGTGGTATCTCATTCCAGGCAACCACCAACTCCTCTTGAAGTGCTTCTAGAGTCTGAGGAGGACGTTGCAAATTGAGCAATCTCCTACCCATCATATCCCACACGTGCTCAATTGGGGATAAGTCGGGAGATCTTGGTGGCCATGGTAACAATGTGACATCATTATGTTGAAAGAAGTCTATTGTGACTCTTGCAACATGTGGTCGGGCATTATCTTGTTGGAAAGTTGGATCTGCCAGGGTGTCAATAGGGTAAAAGATGGGGTTCTAGAACTTCGTGGATATAACGCTGCGCGTTCATGTTACCTCTGATGAAGATTAAAGGTGACCTGGAACCATAAGCTATAGCACCCCAAACCATAACTCCAACAGTGTGATGAACATGTCTTTCAACAAAAAACTGTGGATTCCTCCTTTCACCACGTCGCCTTCTAACCCTGGCACAACCATCGTGCATGCCTAAACAAAATCGAGACTCGTCACTAAAGACAATACTGTTCCATTCCTGATCCCAGAGTGACCGTTGTCTGCACCACTCAAGGCGATTATGTCGGTGTTCTCGAGTTAAAGGGAGGACCCAGTGTGGCCGGTATGAAAACAAGCCAAAACTTCTCATTCGTCGGTAAACACTTCGCATGCCAATAGGTCTTCCGTGTTCTGCAAAACAATTAATTTGCAATGGACCTGGTAGTGGAGAAACGGTCCCTTAAGGCCAATAATCTTAGGCGGCGATCTTCACGGTCTGTTGTTCTACGGCGGCGTCCAGTGCCCCTTGCTCTTTGCGTACGGCCTTCTCGAAGCCATGCCTAACCACAGTGTCTACATTTCTTTGCACTCTAACTGTAATTGCCCGAAAAGAAAGTCCAGCTTCCCGAAGTCCCACTATACGGCCCCTATCAAACTCACTAAGTTGACGAAATCGTACAGGTCTCCGTACTCTAGGCATCGTAACCGATCGTAAAGGATGTCAAGAACCAAAATCCGCCAACGTTGATTCTTTACTGCGGCTGAAATATTCATTTTTAGAGCGTTAGTGAATTAAAAAAAAGCAGTATAAAAACCGGAATGTCCAACTGATAAGGCTGAAAATTTTTTCACTTGTTATTTACAGTAAGATAAATACATTCACCAACTTTTATTAAAATAAAACCATTTAAACTGGATGTTCGGATTTATATGTCACTTATTATAGTCAACGCCAAACAAAGTGGCGTGCACGTCATCACGATAAAAATTCCCCGACCTAATGCCTAGGTTTCTATCACAAACAATTGCTCTATTGCAGTTTCATATTAATGTGATATATAAATTGTAAAATGGTCATTACTCTCTTATTATGGTTAATAGTCATATAAACATTGTTATTAAAATATCACATAAGTTGCTTTCTGATAAATTTAGACGCATTATGCGAAATAAAATGTTTTGCAAACGCTCCAATCACTTATCGACATGTAAACGCACTAAACCGATTTCACAGCGTTGACACATTGTCACCTTGAAACTTATTTAAACTGGGAACTGACATTTGTATTAATTTTGACACTGAATCAATTTGTGGCATTTCAAATCTTTATAAATCCTTTGGCCCCGCATACTGTAAATCAACAACTGTTTGTTTCAAAACAAAATTATTCATTTTACGAGTAGATAAAGGCAATTTTGGTATATAAAGATGCCCAAACAGTTAAATAGTCGGTGTAAGGAACTCGTGGCCTCGTTAATGCACTACTTTGAGCAAGAAAGGGACAACAACGGGCCTTTGTTGCCTTTAAATGCTGTTCAAGAGGTAGGTTACTAATAATTATATGTAATGTATATTAATAATAGAGAAATTTTATTTCATTTTTTGTAGCGTGTTGCTGCTGCTTTAAAAATTAGTTTAAGGACAGTTAGTCGTATTTCCGAGGGTGTGAAAAGTGATGCAAATTTAGAATCGCCCAAGAAAAAGCGGAGTTATATTAAACGTGTAACCAACACAGCGACATTGCATACAAGTGCCATTCGAGAAGTGATCTATAATATGTATCACAAAGGTAAGAACTTATTATAATAACTTATCAGAAATTTGCATTAATTTGTTAACTAAATTATAATGTCATATTACACATGGTTTCAGAAGCACAAGTTACGATACAAACTTTATGGTCTCGATTAAGAGATAGGGCATTATTTGATGGTAGTGCCACGTCTTTAAGGCGGTTGCTTAGAGATCTTGGATTTAAGTGGCTTAAGGACAATCCGCGACGAGGGCTCATGGAACTACCAAGTATAGCTTTGAAAAGGGTGGAATTTCTAAGGCAATACAATCAAGCCAAGGTTGAGGCCTTATACCAGTTTGTCTTCCTCGATGAAACTTGGATATTTCAAAATGGGACCATAGGTCGCTCTTGGCAAAATGGAAACCAAAAAAGCGTGAAAGCTATTAAAACAGATGGTAAAAGGTATGTACTTTTACACAATTTGCACTATAAAATTTAAAACTAATATATTTTAGATACATTATATTACATGCTGGAAATGAAAATGGGTTTATTGAGGGTAGTGAAGCGATATTTTCTTCGAAAACAACATTGAGCGATTACCATGGAGAGATGAACCAGGACAATTTTTTGAAATGGTTTCAACATCAGTTATTAGAAAAATTGGAGAGTCCATCTATGATTATACTGGATAACGCCCCTTATCCAAGACTGGTTGACAAATCAAAACATACCATTTTTAAACACAATGTTTAAAACAGAGCTATTGAGTATTGTTGCTCGGTACATAATGCTTCTTAATTATATATATTTTGGTCGACAGTTTATATTTCTTTTGTTTATTCCTATTCTTAAAATAACTGCTTTTTTAGAAACAAACCACCTAAAATATACGTGATTGATGAATTGGCGGAACAACATGGGCACAAAGTTCTTCGTCTGCCTCCTTACCATTGTATATTTAACCCTATTGAGTTAATTTGGGGCATAGCAAAAGGTTACTATAACAGACATATTGGTAGAGATGGTAACAGTGAAAAAGACTGTTTGGATATGTGGAACGAGGCTCTACAAACGGTTACCCCAGACATGTGGAAAAATAGTGTTCGACATACTGAGCAAGAAATTTTTAAATGGTATGAAAGAGAACGAATTTTTGATCGACCAGACATCGAACCTTTAATAATCAACTTTGAGAGTGATGAAGATTCAGATTCAGACAGCGCTGAAGAAAGAAACTCCGACTAACTTTATTGTACAGAAAAAGCTTACACCAGTAGCTTACCTAATTTTAGAATGCATTTTTCTGTATGAATTCTGTAAAATAAATACTATGCATAAAATTTGGAGGACCCCATTTGGATTTTTATTCAGTACCTTTAAGCTATCAATTAAATATGGTAGTTTCATAGTGTCATCTGATCAATAATTGTCATACTTAATGATTATGCAAGTACAGATCTATAATTTTATTATACTATTATTTTTGTTCTCATTTGAGGTTAATATTGCTTATAAACCTAGATATGTAAATAATAAATTTTATTATTTTACAAAAAGTTTGGCAACAATGTAAATTTTTCAACACACCCACCTTGATGACGTGCACGCCACTTTGTTTGGCGTTGACTATATATGAATATGCTCACAGCATCTTTATAAATATACGGCTTCTTTATAAATATGGCTTACGACATTCATGATCATGAATATAAAAGTGTTATAGTTATCAATCCATGCAGGACAGCAGAATAATGGAAATACTGAGTGATTGCTCACCTTTCAGGTAACCAAAACACTACATCCAATAGCACATCAACATTGTAATTAAGTCCACAATGCGCACTACTTGGACTGAGAAGTGATGCCTTTCACGCAGTATTTGAACTGTAATGCGAGCCACGCCCGCATTTTAAAAAAGTTCATCCTTCATTCATAAACAGGCGTAAGGGCCGTCGCGCTGAGTGACACTAAGCAGACTTGTGAACCTTCTGGAGGGGGTTTAGCTCGCATGCAAAAATGTGCGTGAGATATTTCATAAACTTACAATAGTGAGATGTTTTAGACTCGAAAATGATGAAAATTTTTGTCAGTTCTTTATGGCACAACAGCAATTCTCATTATATTTTCGTATCGTTACACAGACGAGTATACCTATCCTGACAATTCTAAACATGACTTATTACGTTTCTTGCATTTTCTAGGTCAACTGTGGTTTGAGAAAATACAATGCCGACATCGGCAAAATTGCATTTGGTAGCTTCTAAAAGCCTGTGTACTGAAGATCTTTCGGACGAAATATGAGCCATCTGGGCACTACCCTGAATATAAATTGAATTTATATAGGACCATCGGGTTCAAAGGTATAACTAGATTTTGCTGATCCGTTTTACAGTTACTATGATCGCAGCAAATACACACGTACGCACCTACACACGCTAAATTTATAACGGCCCCGCTTTGTAGACGGAGGTATAACGTAAAACACCTGCACGTTGGCTTCAGCTTACAAAATTTTCGAGAGGTAGAGTTATCGACATAGACTAGCGACTGTAAAAGTTAATAAATAATTCATGCTACTTGGTTTAAAAGCTTGTACGTACTCCTACCTCTAAAATGCTTTTTGTTCACCGCAACCGTGATTTTACTAAATTAAATTTCTAAGGTATTCTCGAGTTTTCGCAATCTGCTTACGACGGGACGATAAACAAAAACTCCGAAACACGTGTACTCAAGCCACTGAATATTTCAATTCTGCAGAACGGAAAATCGGTGTAAGAACCTTCGAACCTACCGTTTAGGTTTTACGTTGTGAACTATGCCGTAAGCTTTGAAAGCATGTTGGAAAACACAAATATGTATTTCTGATTCTCATTTTGCTACTTGTTACACCAATTACTGAAGAAGTATTGTAATCGCGAAACATTTTAGGATAGGGTATGTCTTTAGATGTTACATGACATGTACATTACAAGAAGCCATGTCATTCTATCCCATCGGTCTGTCTGTCCGCTAACCATTGGCACTTGCATAATTTGACAAGTATCAGTGGAATTCGATTCAGATTTTGACACAGAAATTCAATACAAACATTTATTCTAACAAAATTCTAAAAGCTTCTTGTCCTCAATGTTTTCGTCAACGCATATCAAGCCTATATATATATATATATATATATATATATAAAGAGAAAATGATCATGCGGAGAAAAGTATATAACAATATGTAGGAAAATAATGATCAAAATCCACAAAAAGGAGGAAAGTGGATTAGAGCAGAAAATAGAATAGGTAACCCGAGCGATACGTATTTCTGCTGGTTGGCTTCATCAGGCCCGAAATGAATGTACATATGAACTACAAAAGTAGATACACATGCCCACACATCCGGATACGGGTGTAACCTGAGGAAACGAAGATGAAGAGGGGAAAAAATGACACACCATGTCCACAACAAGAGCCAACCTACACATTGTAGTATAAAATGGCTAGAAGACCTCGAATTTTCAAGAAGACCACAACCACGCGGCCGGTTATAGCCACTTGCTGTGGTACTTCAAGCCCAAAGGATCTACAAAGAGAAAATGATCATGCGGAGAAAAGCATATATTAAAAAGTATCAAAATAATGAGCAAAATTCGCAAAAAGGAGGAAAGTGGATTCGAGCAAAATATAGGATAGGTAACCCGAGAGGTATGTATTTCTGCTGGTTGGCTTCATCAGGCCCAAAATGAATGCACATATATACTACAAAAGTAGATACACATGCCCACACATCCGGATACGGGTGTAACCTGAGGAAACGAAAATGGAGAGGAAAAAAATCCTTTGGTCTTGAAGTACCACGGAAAGTGGCTATAACCGGCCGCGTGGTTGTGGTTAGATGTCTTCTTGAAAATTCGAGGTCTGCTAGCCATTTTATACTACAATGTGTAGGTTGGCTCTTGTTGTGGACTTCGTGTGTCGTTTTTTTTTTCGCTCTCCATCTTCGTTTCTTCAGGTTACGCCCGTATCCGGATGTGTGTGCATGTGTATCTACTTTTGTAGTTCATATGTGCATTCATTTCGGGCCTGATGAATTCAACCAGCAGAAATACGTATCGCTCGGGTTACCTATCCTATTTTGTGCTCGAATCCGCTTTCCTCTTTTTTTGCGGATTTTGCCCATTATTTTCCTACTTTTTGTTGTGTAACACCATTTCTACCCCTTGAGGCGTACAACGCAACTCATTAGAAATTCAGTGCCACCTGAATTGTCGATCTGGCTTGTTTCGTTCCTCTGTAGTCATTACTTTTGGTAGAGCTGTTTCGTACTTGTTTAGTTTTTTACGATGGCAAGCTTCAGTGAGCAACGTGCAGCTGTGAAATTTTGCTTTCTCATTGGTAAAAGTGCTTCTGAAACTTTATTAATGTTGAAAATAGCTAATAGATGATTCCAAGGGAAAAACTGAGGTGTACGAGTGGTTTGCTCGATTTAAAAATGGCGACATGTCGATTAATGACAAACCTCGCTCTGGACGCCCATCAGCTGCCCGAATCGACTAAAATGTTGAAAAAATTCGAGAGCTTGGGCTATTTGGAGGTTTTAAGACGATTACGAAACAGTGTTCGGCAAAAAAGACCCGATTTGTGGCAGTCAGGAGACTAGTTCTTCCAGCACGACAAAGCACCTGCGCACACAGCCATCTCTGTTCGACAGTTTCTGGCTAAAAATGGCATGGTGCCGCTGCCTCACGCACCTTATTCGCTTGACCTGGCTCAGTGCGACTTTTTCTTATTTCCACGGATGAAAAGGTGCATGAAAGGACGCCGCTTTGACGACATTGAAGAGGTCAAGAAAAAAACGAGGGAGGAGCTGTCAGACTGGAAGGCTTCAAAAAATGTTTCGAGCAGTGGAAGCACCGGCGGAACAAGTGTATTATTTGTAGTGGACAGTATTTTGAAGGAGATAACGTTACTTTGTGAAAAAGTTGAAAATAAATTGCTTTTGAAAATGAATTCTGTTTTTTTTTTGGTACCCCCTCGTATATATAGTATATTTATAGACCAAGCTTTTTACATTCTATATACGCTGACCTAAAGGTATCACTTTATATATATTTTGCTTTCAGGGGATGTATTGTAGTCGTGCAAAATTTCGAAATTGTAATATAATGATACTTGCATGTTACACGACATGTTCGTCACAAGAAACTCTGTCACTCATTTCGATTAGCCTGTCTGTACGTATGCCTGTCGTCTGTCCAGCAATCCTTGGATACTCTATAAGTCCGAAAAGTACTGCTCGGGTTAGATTTTGATGGAAATTCGATACAACATTATTATGGAATGATCCCAAACTTTATTTTTTGCATGTTTTTGAAATTGTGATTAGTTTTCGGTGTAGTCGGAAAGTTTTAGGAAACTCCACACTTAGTTTTCCGATATTTTACAACTTTCGTGTTGAGGGCTTTCAAGTACCAAACATTTTAAATACTTATACTCAACATGACATACTAAAGCGTTTTGATGATAACATGCTGGATTATACGCGATTAAATGTATAAAATACTCAACTTTGGCATTTTGATAGTAATTTTAAATTCTAGGGGTATAAAGTTCTCATAAGGAGCTTCAAAACAAGGCATCACATGATCTCCACTTACAATTGATGTTTCAAGACGACTGTTATTCTTATGCTAAAATATAGTATATTTTTATCAATTTCATGCAATTAAATTTGAGTGTGTTAACGCGATCAAGAAATAAGTAGGGAAGGAGACCTTTCTGAAAAGCCCAATATGTTGCCCGTATCTCTCAAAAACCGCAGCCTACTGGAAGCAAGGTATTTTACCGAGCAGAAAAAAAAGTATAGTCATTTGTTATGAAATGCACGACCGTGTGCGAGGTAATGAATAATCTGCTTAACTTTATGTACATTCTATAGACTGTTTAGCCACATAGTCCTCAATTATTTATTTTGCCAAATTATAGATAACAACCTTTACTGCTCTTCTTATAACTGACCTACCACTATTGATAACCAACTAAAGTTGCTCGACTATAAATTAATCCACTGCTTGCTAATCCTAATTAACAGTTCGCATAGAAAGCATGTTCGCATCTTGAGTATATCCCAGAAACTTCTATCTATGGAATCTCGTTCTAGTAAATTACTTTTTTAATTAGACATTGAAGCTGGAATACGGTGTCCTTGAGAAATTTCCCCAATCAGGTTGCGAAGCGGCAACGAACAAATGGCTTCGCAACACGTGTTCATCCGGATCCCATTTATGGAGAGAAGAACAGAGGTCATACCCAATTGTGAGGATTTAAAACAATGATGGGTGTAGGCACGTGCTAATTGAGTGCTCGTGAAAATAGATGTTAGTTTTGATTTAGGGTAAAGGTCGAGTATATCAATATTTACTGAAATGTAAATTTCTAACGCCATCCATCTACTCGTAGTTATAGCATATTTGACGCCGCTTGGCATCAAAATATATCTGACAGAAACTTATAACCGTTCAATAGTTTGTAAAAGTTGAAATTTGTTGGTTTTTGCAAAGCATGGGTACTATTAACGAAAACACATACAAAACCTCTTATTCCATATTGAAAATCTTGAACTTTAAGTGTATAAGTTAGAAGTAATTATCATCAAATTCCATTAATATTATTATAATCGATTTTCGAAATAACTAACTTAGTAATGTTCAAAAATGTAGACCAAAAAACTACTAACTCACACACATTCTATATAACTTCTGTCACCACTACTAAGCACCAAAAGTCTAATATGGAACTATTTTAATCGACTAGAAAAATGTACAAGACCAAGACTAAGCTAGTATTTTGTTGCAAGGCCAAGATCAAGACCAGACAAGTCTTGGTCTTGCGAAGTTCTATTGCGTCACAACGTCCCTAGCCGCCATTTGAGTAGGGTTGTTATCAGATGGGACAAAAACTTAGCATCCAAGGGAAAATAATCATTCCACCTCGATTTTTATTTTCTATAATCACGTTTGTTGCATGCCCGTCAACCTGAATCAAGATATTACCCGGCGCAAATTTGAGAACATGAAAACATGTACGTTGACACATCGACAACGTACATATCGCGCAGTATGCCACACAACTGTTTCGCTACCAGTGTTCAACTTTCCCTCCTTACAACAACCATCAAGCTTTCCAATGAATGAATGAATGAATCTTGAAATTAGAGGCATTCCGGCCACCATAAGGAGCCAGTGCATAGGCTGCTTAAGCGGGCCCTTATGCACCTCTACATTCCTTAGATCACAAGCCTCGCCCTTTTAGCGAAGTTGAGAATCGCCTTGAGTCCAAGCTCCTTGACGTCCTGAGGGTCCAAAGTAATGGACCCCAGTATAGTCTGCCTATAGTAGCTCAGAGCTTCACAGCGACACTTAA